ACGGCTCGACTCTGTGTTTCAGAAGTGATTCTGAGATTCCGGTTATTTTTTACCCCAAGAATGGATCCGAAATGAGGTATTCGTGTATTAAATGAATTATTTTACGCCAATAACTCGGAAATTAATTATTTTGTTCCGATATTTAGGTACAAAAAGAGCGATCCATTGCCAGAGTTTGTAAAACAAAAGTTAGCGCTTTTGCCACAAATTGTCAATATATTAAAAGAGTCTCAAACTAATAGCTGATAATTTATATGAATTGTAAGTATTTGTTTATAATCATTAAATCAAATATATTTGTAAATTTCTAAACGATTTAATGACAACTATTTTGTGAACAATTTGAGCGCAATTTTTCTAATTAAAGTTTTTGTTTAACAAGTTTATAATATAAAACGTTAATAAAACAATTGAAACTTTATGTTTGTGATATTGAAATTGATTTTTAATTATAATTATAATTAGTTTTTTAGCGATATTTGATTAAAAGTAAAGCCAATGAATAAATCGTATGAATTGCCGAGAGAGAGGGAGGAAATGGATGTGAAAGGGACTGGTATGTTGACTGCTGGCGCCATCTATGCCAGTGAGTGGTGTTTGAGTGAAACTGAAGTGCACTTCCTTTCAGCCACACGTCGTCGACATTTTGCAGGTATAATACAATTGTGAGACAATTATCGCTTAATTTGGTTTAAATTGCAATTCATTTTCACTCATTTCACCTGAAATTTGTGTTTAACTGTGACTGCAATCAATTGACACCAAAAACTAGTGATACAAACCACTAATTGTATATTTGGCCACATATTCAGTGACAACACGTGTTTTGAATACAAGAACCCAATTGATCCGTAAAGATGTCGAAACGTAAGGGAAAGCAGAAGGAGGAGCAGCCGGTGCTGTCGTTGGGCCCGCAGGCACTGGAGGGCGAGAATGTGTTTGGCGTCGCCCACATCTACGCCTCCTTCAACGACACCTTTGTCCACGTGACTGACCTCTCGGGACGGTATGTATGCCCGAATTGTCGCGACACGACCGCCAAAGTGATGATCCAAAGACAAGCATATGTCTGACGCCTTTGATGTCCACACAAGCGTCTGATTGGCGGTCGTCGTGACCCCCTATCTATGTGATGGTGTGTTTGATTGTATGTCTGCGTTGACCACCAATAGGGAGACCATCGCTCGCGTGACCGGCGGTATGAAAGTGAAGGCCGACAGAGACGAGGCGAGCCCTTACGCGGCGATGTTGGCCGCGCAGGACGTGGCGGAGAAGTGCCGCACGATTGGCATCAACGCCCTGCACATCAAACTGAGGGCCACCGGCGGCACCCGGACTAAGACTCCCGGTCCCGGCGCTCAGAGCGCGCTTCGAGCGTTGGCCCGCTCTGGCATGAAAATCGGTCGCATCGGTAGGTTATGACACGTGTCTGTTGTCGTGTAATTGAGTGCTAATGGGTTTGTTTGTGTGGTTTGCAGAGGACGTGACACCCATTCCGTCGGACAGCACCAGAAGGAAGGGCGGCCGCAGAGGCAGACGATTGTAATTGTAATCAATGGTCGGAATTATAATAAAAACATTTAATAAACTGTTTTGAAACAAATTGATGCTTTAAATCATTTTAATTTAT